CTCTCTCTCTCTCTCTCTCTCTCTCTCTCTCTCTCTCTCTCTCTTCTATGTTTTCTGGTAGCATGCACAGTATGTGATTATATGCGGCACTGAATCTGGTAATTGCTTATAGCATAGCAAGCTCCTTTGCTGAACAGACAACCAAGGGGAACCAGATTAACTCATAGATGAGCATACTCGACTCCTACACAAAGAGCACGACCGTACACCAAACCATCAGCAGAAAAAGAGGATCAACAACCATAGTTTAGACCGGAAAGAAGGTGCGGGAGAGAGGAAGAACAAAAGACAACAGAATTCTTTCGGACGCGGCCCTGGATGGGTCAAAAAAAAAAAAAAAAAAAAAAAATCTGCGTTACAACCCATCCACCACCAGCAACGTGCGAAATGTCGACAGTTTCCTGACGTTCTTCAGTTCCGTGCCACTGTACCAAACAGCTAGCCGCATTAGCGCGGCCATAGGCGTTTCGGCCGGTCGCCAGCCAACCTTCATCAGGGGCCTGAATCGCGATTCGAGAAGATCCAGAATGTCGTTGGATGCATCCAGATATTTCTCCTCTCGTGAGAGTACACCTTTACTAGATTTCTATTCTATTCCATACTCGTTTTTCAAAGTTTACCGTCATTGTTGTGCTTTCTAGTGGCATGAGCACCTCAGGCACTTTATCCTCGCGCTGAAGATGCGTTCTCTTATGTGGCACTGAATCTGGCCATGACTACGGTGAGATACAGTTTGCAGGGAGCTCGACTCCCACCACCTAGTGGTGATGAACCTGTCATCCAAGATGAAGTCTGCACTATCACCATAGTTATGGTCAGATTCATAAGTAAAAATTATTCACAACTGCATGTTTTTACTATGACTGAGTGGTAACTGATAATAAACAGATCGATCCAGTGAGCCCTTGGGGACATTCGTTAACGCCAACATCGGAGCAATAAAGAAAAAAAAAAAATAGACTTGTGTTCCACTGAACTTACTTGAGAGAAATTCTACGAAGTCAGTCAAGCACAGCGAGTACCACGTAATAATTTTTGGGGCTCCACCTACCGGTCCTTTCGCAGTGATTGTGCAGATGGCGTCCTGCTTGAGGGAAAACCCATGGACATGTTTTGGAGCTGGGCCAGAATCGTGGTCAGATGCGTTGCACCGTCTTTCACGGAATATACTTGGCCAACTAGAGTGTACAATGGCTTTCCCAAGTTGAGATCGTACGACGTCGTTTCGAAGTTGACGAGGGTGGAAACCGCCCCCCGACGTGCTCCCACCTTCTGGACTGAAGAACGACGACGAAAATTACTGCGCCTTCTTCGTGAAGAAAACAATCATGATTCTTCAGTGGAGCCTGGCCTACTTTGGCGAAAATCCCCGACAGAAGCCAGTGGAGCACAACCCCTTGGCATGATGATGCAATATCACAATGTCAGTAGGTGCAATACAATCATCAAACACCATGTGCTAGGCGCACAGCGCACTGCACCGCCCCGCGCTGAAGACGAGCATGCACTGAAGAGTAGAGTAAAAACTACCGGCACATCTGTGAGCCTATCCTGCCAAACCAACCGCTTTCTGCCACGTGTCTGTTTTAGGAAGGAAGAAGAAAGAAAGAAAGAAAGAAAGAAAGAAAGAAAGAAGAGGAGGAAGAAGAGGCATAGTCTTATCTCACTTCACTCACAAACTAAGGCGAAGGTAGAGCCCGTGCTATGTAGAGATACATAGAGTGCTACTAGTGTATGTATACTGAGCAACAACAGGCTCGAGCGGGCTAAGAAGAAGAAGAAGAAGAAGAAGAAGAAGAAGAAGAAGAAGAAGAAGAAGAAAGAAAGACAGAAAGAAGAGGAGGAAGAAGAGTAAAGAAAAGCAAGAAGAAGAAGAAGAAAGAAAGACAGAAAGAAGAGGAGGAAGAAGAGTAATGAAAAGCAAGAAGAAGAAGAAGAAGAAGAAGAAGAAGAAGAAGAAGAAGGATGATGAACGACATCATGCCAAGATGCACGGCCCTTGAGAAAGGGTGACAAGATGGATTACTTCTGGTTTTTGTTGTTTTGCACCGGGCCTGCCCAGATGAGCCCGCGCACAAGTTGGGTGCTTGGGCACCCAGCAAAACAGAGCCTAGATGGGAACCGAACTGTGTGTCTAGCCGTCCTCAGCTATGTAGCTAGCTGTATATCTATGTACTATTCCAGCTCTTGCCTGCAGTTATCATCACTCACCAAAAGTTATGGCTGCATGGTCCCGCCGACACACAGTCGTGCCAAACCTCGTGGCATATGTCACATTTCATCGACTCATCCCCCACGCTTGCCACTCCCTGAATCCAAGCAGATAACACAAGACATATAACAAAACCACATCAGGCCTCGAAAGACACAACAAATGCACCTGCTCTCTCTCTCTCTCTCTCTCTCTCTCTCTCTCTCTCTCTCTCTCTCTCCCTCTTTAATACCGCCCATCCCCCTCCCCCTTCACATAATCCCGGACACTTGCACCTGCACATACCCTGTGTTAATCCTGTTGATCCTTCCCTCTGGAGTCTTTTTCACAGCATGGTAAGTAGAGGAGCCACACACAACACATCTGTCGCAAATATTTTGTTAAAAGGCCTACTTGTGCCCATGACATCATCAGAATTCTCAAATTCCACTGCAGCCCCTGCCAGAGTATACCTGGAGGTCTTAACGTCCCGTTGCTCATCATGATCACGCACCTGGCCATCTGTGCCGTCCAGATCCAGTCCACTCCAGCACCTAGTCCCCCTTTAGAATCCGCCTAAGGGAGGGGGGCGCTTGACGGGGCGCCTAAGGGGTGGGGGGGGGGGGGGGGGGGGGGGGGGGAGGAGGGGGAGCTTGAGGTGTCAAAATTACTGCACTTCATATCCCTTAGACTACTTTATAGTGTTTCTAATCTTCATTGCAGTCCCATGCATACACCACATTCCGAGTCACGAAGAGCTGCTTTGCTCATGATCGACATTCCAGACGATATACACATCAAAATGACGTAGCCTGAATTAAAATAAAAAAAAAATAAAAAAAAAGGCCTGCACTAAGAGGCCTCTCTGGAGCACTGGATGACGAGTGCTATTCATGAAATTAGTGAAGTTAAATGAACTTGTACTACTAATAGGATAATAGGGGACCCTTCATTTCCTGTGTCATCCTTTTTCCGTAAGTCTGTAGAAGGTAGCAGTGCTTTTTACTTCATCGCCTCAGGGGATACTGGGGTGCCCTATCCCCTAAACTCCCTCTTTCCTTTTTTTTTTCCCCTTTTTTTTTCCTTTTCTTTTTTTTTTTTCCCTTTCTGTTTCGTTTCCTCGTTTCCTGGTTCCAGCCACTTCTACTTACTACTTTCACCTTCTTCTGCTGTGGACCCGTGACGTCAGACTCCTCCTTCGCAGCACCATTGCTAGCGTGAGCGCCATTGCTCTCTGACTTCTCTGCCACCCTCCCTTCAGCGCCAGCCAGGCTGTCCGTCACATTTACCTATTCGGGAAAACAACCATGCAAGCATGGGCATTAAACCCCAACGACACAACTATTGGGGGGTGTAAATGAGCAGTGTCATTAACCCCAAATAACAATTTGTTTTCAGTCACGTAGGCACAATTTGCAGACCCATTTGCAATTGCACATAAGACAATGTGGCCAACACGACATGAACTCGAGCACACATACGCTCCGGATACGATCAGCGACTAGATGCATTCCGTCAGGAAAGGGATAGCAAGCGATTTCTGAATATGTATTGTGTTAAATAAGAGAGCACATAAGCTATGAATACTGTGTTAAATAAGAGAGCACATAAGCTATGAATAAAATTATTAACCAATTACCTAATTAATTACTTAAACAGAAAGAAAAAAAAAAAGAGTACACACAAGCTGACCGGCCCGAAGAACTGGAACCAGGCCACAAAGCGGCAACAGCACCTGAAGCATAATCCTCGTTTTTTTTTTCTTTTCCCTGCTTTCTCATCCAACCCGTTTAAACCACCAGTAAGAACCCCCCYCCCCYCYCCAAACCTTGTGGTCATATATATACAAGGAGGGGGGGGGGGGGCGGTGGGGGGTGCTTTCAATGTACCAGCCTGGCAGGATCCGGTTCGATTTTTTTTTTTTTTTTTATGTTTTTTGGAAAATTTTGGACCATTGCTCAATTTATGTGTGTCATCCTTGCACAGAGGCCATGCTGGTTCAATTCATTCGGGGGCAAAATAACATTAGGTTGAGCAATCTACGGATGCCATGTGGACGCTTTACCAGTTAGAATCTCGTTTCGGGATACCAGAGCGTTTGATGGAACGGAAAAGTAAAAGTACCAGAAATGGAAGGCAGATTTCAGAAAATCGCTGTTTGACTGTCGGTACACCCACTTACTTATTCATTCATTGACTACTAGGTTCTGAGCATTTTCGGTTTTTTTCCCTGCCCGCGAGAAGTAAGGATGGCTGATCCGCTTGAGGCATTTCGTTTCGTTTGGTAAATCAACACACAACAAAGATTGTATCTTGGGTCCAAATTTCTCTCCAAAACCGATACTGTCAGTTCCGTCAGGAGCATGAGTTCCAGTGGTAGATCGGCTAAGGACGCACATTTTTCCGGCATGAAGTCATCGGTTCGAGTCCCGTTGTCATCAAACCACAACTCCCCTTGCAAGTCCATGTGGTTCAGATGGTAGACAGCATCATATCCCATGGAAACTTGGTAAGGGAAAAAAGCGCCCGGTTTAAGTCTGGTCATATGGTGGGTCCGAAATATTCTTCTTTGCTTTTTTTGAATTTTTTCCTTTTTCCCGAAACAGATTCGGCTCCTACTCTAGGAGGAGCACCGGTTGGCTTTCCATTCCACCAGCAGCATTTGATCTTTTTCTGAGCTTTTCCGGACGAAACAGAAATCAAATTTCATCCATTCGCAGACAGCTACCATTTTCCACAAGCAAGTGGTCCCGCCTTCAATCACTCGGGACATACGCACGCTAGCACTTCGTTAACTGTCTGACTGCAAATAAGGCCCAGCGCAGAGGTATCCGACTCCGATCGCGTCCAGAGCTCATTCGGAAAAGTACTAGTGTGACTATGCCCTTACCGTGAATCAGAAAGAATGAGCACCTATTCTTATTTTCCTGTGAGGAAAGAAGGACGGAAGGAAAGAGGAGGGACGGAGGGAGGGAGGGATTAAGTAGTCAAGGAAGTAAGGAAGGAAAGAGGAGGGAGGAGGGAGGAGGGAGGGATTAAACCACCAGTACACCCGAGCCTGCAGGGGCCCCTTGCTGCACGCCAAGGTTTTCCGAACCGCCAGCGGCGCACTTTTCTCCTTTTTTGGCTGGCTCCCCCAGCCATCGTGGTCCAGTAGGCCGAGCCTCCGAAATTTCCGTAGGCGACGAGTTTCTTTTTCAGAAAGGCCAAGGCCGTGTACTGGCGGTTTAAGGAGTAGACAAAGGAAGGAAGGAAAGAGGAGGGGAGGACTCAAGGAAGGAAGGAAGGAAGGAAGGAAGGAAGATAGGGAGATGATGGGGAAGAGTGACTGGGGATAGATAGCAAGGAAGGACATGGAAAACGGGGAGAAGATTCGACAAAAGAAAAATGATGAGGGAAATAAAAAATGGCTGAGAAAGGAAAAGGAAAAGAAGACGGGCTTCTCCAGTGCGAGAGAGGGAAAAGGAGAGAGCTGGCGGGGCAATCTTACCCTGGGTCGTTTCTTTGAACTTGCACCATATTTCACCTTGGTGAGTAGCTGAAAAACATAGGATGGCAGCTCTGTACTTCGCCCATACGTAAGCATACATACATGCATACACAAAAAAAAGGAAATGGAACGTTTCCATTAGTGCGTGTACATGAGGACCCATTTCATTTCCACGTAGAGTCCCAACCCACCACTCCGACTAGAATTCCCGAACAGCAAGCTACGACAAACTTTCATGGCTAGCTACGACACACTTTCACACCTAAAAATAGCCATGAAGGGACGGCCTCCAAAAGCGGCCCTCCACTGGCACTGACAAAAGAACAAGGGGAAAAAAACAAAAGTTGAAAAAACTAATATGATTTTGTAGTTATATACAATGAAAACCAATGTACCGTGATCCGTAACTGGACCAGGTTCCCTCCCCCACTTGTAACTCTTGTTCCATGTTCAGACAAAGCCTCCTGAGGATCTCGTGATGATCGTCCAAACAAATCAGCAGTCAGATTCAGTGCATGTCCTAAGTTCACACTGGTCAGATTTATGCAGCAGAAGACAGAGACAGTGCCTATGACTGATTGCTATATAATCGGTTATAATGGGGTACCCATGAGCCATGATTGGCTATATACTCGTCTATAATGAGTTATAATGGGCTCTAATGGGCTCTGATGGGCACTAATGGGCTCTAATGGGCTATACCAAATGGGCTAAAAAGTCCTACAAAGGGCTATAATCGGCAGACAGGCCAGATTTGCCCAGCAGATGACAAAGACTTAGGCTATGACTGGATAGAATTGGTTATACGATCAGTTTGTCTGACTTGGTCAGCTATTTGAATAGGCCTGAGAGAAGCCACCCCTACAGTAGTCCAAGAGGATTTGGATGGTTCTAACTTCTAACCTACCCACCGTCTTCACCCGAATAGAATGCCTGGTCATTATAGCTGTATTTGGCACAACTTTCGGCCCAGATACGGCGATAATTACCGGGCGTTCTATTTGGGTTAGTGTGGTGGTCATCCAAATCGTCTTGGGGTTAAAACCATCCAAATCCTCTTGGACTATTCTAGCCAATTCTACCTACAGGGGAATGGCCGCTACCGTGTCAGCGAGATGGATGGACGATTGGATGTACGTATGCATGAATGGACGGATAGACGGATGGATGGAGAGAAACGGGGTGCGTGGATGGATGGATAGATGCATTTGCATTGTCACCGGAATAACTAGGTCGGCACAGGAAATTGCTGAGTGTAAATAAGCTGGATACTAGGCTACCAGGGGCATCTGGCCGGGCACCCGTGCAGGTCACCTGGCCATGTGGTCACCCGTGGTACCCCGGGTATGTAAAAACTTGAGGATTTTTTTTTTTTTTTTCCATTCGTGGGGCTTTACGGCGCCTGGCAAAATCAGCCCAATCCGTTTTTTTTTTTTTTTTTTCAATGCTGTCCCTCAT